TAGTTTCATTTCGATGTAACTACAGTTTCATATCATATGACTACATTTTCATTCGATATTATAACACCAAATATGTGAAAATGTTAATTAATTTTATTTTATATACACCATAGTTTCATTAAAACAGAACTACATGATCATTTTGATATAACTACAGCTTCATTACTCAATATAAACTCAAAAATGTGAAATGTTATTCAATTTTATTTTATATATACTGCAGTTTCATTTCAATTCAATTGCAGTTTTAGTTGATAATATAAAAATAATACGTGAGGTAATGTCAGTTTAGATATCAGTTTCACTTCAATTGAATTGCAGTTTCAGTTGATAATATATAAAACAATACGTGAGACAGTATCGGTTTAGATACATAGTATCAGTTAATAATTAATACACCAAATATGTGCACTCTGTTAACTATAACAGCGCGTCGTTTCTTTACTTAAAGAAACGGCGCCCTTTTGACCGCGGTGTACGTGCACCGCGGTCCACGATATAACAACTGATCAGATAAAGTTTGGCGCCCTGCCAGAACTCCACATTCGGCATCTTCAAGCAATGCCTTGACCTCATCCGGCAGAACTTCGAGGAGCTATAATCCTCTTGGTAGACTTTTGGATATGGCTGCTAATGCGTCTGCAACACGATTCTTTTCACGCAAGATCAGAGAAACATTCCATTCCTCCACCCTGCTTAACACCCTTTTGCATTCAACGAGGATATTTTGAGCTATGATATTCTGCTCCGTTGATTTGTTTCTTTTGGCCATTGAAAATGTGAAAGATATGTCTTTGAAGTTAATTTCACTTTTGGTCCTATAATTATTGAGGTCTTGTTAATTTCAATCCATGACTTTTAAAACTGTCAATTTAGTATCTTAACTATTCAATTTTTATCAATTTTGGTCACTCTGATCAAATTGCCCTGCAAAACTCACTGAAAAATATTAATAGGTAAAATAAATCGGGTATTTTAGCCTTTTTACTTATCTTTTCTGTCTTCTTTAAAATACTCTCATTATTTACGTTCTTTATCGGGTTTAGTAATTCGGGCTACCCATGGACGGAGCCAAAGGGGGGTAGGGGCAGCTCCCCCCCCCACCCCACCCCTACCCCATATATAATCTTTGTATGTATATATGTATATATAGTACAAGTTTTATTATTACTATAAAAATACTATTAAATAAAAGAGTTAATATCGTTTGAGGTCCTCCGAGTATAGGGGTTTTGCCACGTTTAGTCCTAAACTTTCAAATTGACCATCTGTGGTCCTTCGACTTTCAAATTTAACCATTTGTGGTCCAAGTTAACCACTCATGGTCCTTCGAGTTTCAAAACTTAACCAGTTGTGATCCCCTTGAAAGGACCATGGTTGGTTAAATTTTAATAATTGAAGGACCATGAGTGGTTAACTTGGACCACAAATGATTAAATTTGAAAGTCGTAGGACCATATATGGTCAATTTGAAAGTTTAGGACTAAATATGGCAAAACCACTATACTCGGAGGACCTCGGATGGTATTACCTCTAATAATAAATGAGTTAGATTAGTTGGTAGAACACATGTTTGGAAATAGTAAACGTCAAGGGTTTGAATCCTTTTGCATCAACATAGTTTTAGAGTTTACACACACACATCTATACTATATATAAAAACAAAATCTTGAACTTTAACTTCCCGCCCAATTGCTTAAAAATCTCTCTTTCTAATAAAAATATATTATTTTCTACTTTCATATTCGTACTATAATTCTAAGTTAAAATGCTTATTCTAATATTATAAAATAGTGTAATACAATTCCTATTCTAACCTATACTATATATAAAAACAAAATCCTGAACTTTAACTTCCCGCCCAATTCCTAAAAAAATCCTCTTTCTAATAGCGAGTGCTTTAGAGAGAGGGAGAGTGGAGAGGAAAGAACCCCCTAAGAAGGAGGGTCAATGGCCCTTATATAGGCCCAAGGATTGACCCGCTATCTTTGACTTTGACCCGTAGACCGGGACTAGAACCGTTTGACCCCGACCCGACTATAAAATGAGAGCACGGAGTGTACGGAGAGCTTGAACCCGGGGTATATTCCCCATCAAGAAGCCCCCTCAGTCTGTGCCCTGACGTTGAGTGAATGAGGAAGGGTTCGGGCTGGAAAAACTGACTAAAAACGGTCTGCGACCTACGCTGGTTGCCTCGTTAAAAACCTTAAACTAATAAAAAACTAGTGGGAAAAAGTTTTAGCCAAGGGAAAAAGAGCACAATGCTAAACGCAGTCTGGTGGACTAAAGAAAGGGATTACCCGACCTAGGGGTCGGTTTTACAACATGATTCGAGAGGTCGAATCTTTCCCGATCTAGCGATCGGGAAACTAGCCATGATCGAATTGCTAGGTATGACCGATTGGACGGATTAATTGCGATCGGGAGATCTAACTTTACCAATCATGGTATTGGATTTAGGTATGACCAGAAAGTCGGATTACGTGCGATCGAGGCGATTTCTCCCTTTTTGCACTCAGTTTACGAACCGAGAGTTCCAAGCGGGGGATACTAGGAGACCCGATGGTCTAACGATAGCAAGACCGTGTAGGTCGCTTTGATCGGGAAGCGCAAGGCGCTAGGAGACCCGAAGGTCTAACGATAACTAGTGTGAATACATATTTATAAACTTTCAATGATTTTGATTCTTATCATTTATAATTTTCTTGCAAAACATGTTATAATATATCATTAAAATTTTCTTATTTTATAGTTTCACCCACACCAACATTTTCAATGTTATTATTTTTATCCGTCGTAACAAAATTTTTTAAATAAAACATATAAAAATGTAATTAATAGTTGCTTAAAATAAAAAAATTAAAAATATAATATTCATAATATATTAAAAGTTATACTTGATATATTGTTAGGCATCAAGCAAAATAGTTATTATTTGCAAAAATTGGCTATTGTGAACAACAGTTCGCTATTCGCAGTAGCTTGTTGTTAAAAAAAAAGGAAAAAAATTATATTACGAATATAAACATAAAAGAATAAAACTCACAATATACAAGTATTTATATGAATATTATGAAAAATATACTAAAATTTGATGGTGATAGATGAAAAATTTGCTTTGTTAATGTATTTGAAGAGAAAAATTTCATTGATAAAGTTTAGAAGTTAGAGAGAAAAGTTTGGAAGATAAGGATAAAAAGTTTGTAGAAAAAATAAAAATCAAAATATACGAGCAATAATGAAGAAAAAATAGTCTGTAGAATTTATAGAAAAAGATGGTAAAGTTTAGGAGGGAAACAAAAGTGGTAGAGTTTAGCTATGAAGAAAATATAGGATAATGACAAAAAATAATTTATCGAATTTAGGTATAAGATTTATAGAGTTTAAATAGGGAGAAAAAAAATAGAGTTTAGATAGAGAGATAAAATATTCAGAATTGGTAGAAAGAAAAATTTGAAATCTTGGGGTTACGTGTCGGATTTCAACTATTTATATTTGAAAAGGAAAAATATACAAAAGTCCTAAAATAAAATAAACATAAAAATAAAAAAGTTTACAAAAGTTCATAACTTTTTTAATAGCCCATGACTTTTAAACCACATTAGACTTTTTTATCTTTATACTTTTTATTCCATTTAAATTCTCATATACACCAAACAGTATAATTGAAATTTACAGTAATTTTATTCATACATACTAAACAATGAAACTTGAATTCATACTTTATTATTATCGTATTCCTTTCTCATAAAATTACAAATTTTTTTCTTCCATAATTCTTCATTTCAACCAAACGGCCTATTCCAGTGTATTAGTTATTTAATGGAAAATTATTATGTGGACTTGAGTCCACCTTGCAAGGTGGAACCGCGGTCAAAAATCCACAATTTATATACTAAATGTTCACAATTTTTATTTTTATATATTAAATGTTCACAATTTACCTACGGAATGTTCACAATTTTATATATTAAATGTTCACATTTTGAATTGTGAACATTCAATATGTAAGTTGTAAACATTCAGTATAGGCAAATTATACCGTGCACCAGGGCGCACAATGCATTGTGCGTCCTGACCAAAAGGCGTCGTTTTGACCATGTTTTTTTTTTAGAAATCATGTTTCCCATTTCTATTGTTAAGTTCAAAAAAAAATTATCCGTTTCGAATGTACATAAACTCATAACAGAAAACACATAAACTCATAACAGAATACGCATAATCTAACATAATACATAATACACATAAACTCAAAACAGAATACACATAATCCAACATAATACATAATACATAATACACATAAACTCATAACATAATCTAATCTAACTCTATAATAAAGCAATAACTTGCTGAAGTTTTCATTTTCCCGCCCACCTAATACCACACCGTTTTGGCTTAAGTTACTGCTATTACATTTTTCCAGCTCATGCATTGTGATGTGTATTTCCCATGCGTTGATGATAATTCGGCTAATTAATGCTAGATTCTTTACCTTCATTATACCCCTCATGGGAATACCAATGCATATAATGTCAGAGAATTATATCGTTTCTGACCTTTCAAGACCACAATATAATTCAAATTCGTCCTATAATTTTTCTCCTGCTTTTTATATATATATATATATATATATATATATATATATATATATATATATATATATATATATATATATATATATATATATTCTATCTGTATAACCTACCTGTACCAGATAATGATACAAACATACGCAGAGAAATTATTACAAGCCCCTTGGAATAATACAAACCTAATAGAAAATATTAGGTTAATTTAAAAATTCAAATGAATTAAATGAACATTAACATTTAATGAATAGTTAGTGTTCCAATGTTGTGGCTGCTCACAAAAACTCTTCGATTCTTGTGATTTGAATATCTCATCTGTGCCTATAAAAGGCACAAATCAGAGATGTATTTCGTCCTAGATTGAAACTGTTCTTGCCATCACCATTAACCATCTTCAAAAGAGTTCTAAAGATGCCTTCCCTTTTTATTGCTGTAAAAGATATCCAACCTATACACAAACTGAGAGGTGTTAGAGTACGTTGTGTAAGGGTGTATGTAGTGCCTGAAAGTAGGGGAGGAGGGAATACCATCAAGAGTATGGAGTGTTTTCTCCATGATGATCAGGTAATACATTTTTTTTTACTGCATTTGTAACAGAGACATGTTTACATCCTTAGTTCTTCATTCTGCAGATAGAGTAAAAAAATACCAGTAACAGTAGAAAAAATGATAAAGTCATGGGACTGATTATTGCTTTATTTCTTTCTTATTTGCAGGGAGATTATGTACATGTCAATATTCAGAACACAGATGTTAGAAAATACAAAGAAGTTATAAAAGAAGGACAACTCTATGAGATAAAAAAAAAAATTTATGCTGTTACAAATTATTACATGTACAAGATCACACAACACAAATATATGCTTAAGTTCAATTACAAAACAGAAGTCAAACTGATAAATTCTAAAGGGTTTCCCCTGCATATGTTTCGGTTGACCAGTTTTGTTTCTTTGAAAGATCCAAATGAAGTAAATGAAAAAGAACTCATTGGTACTACTGTTCTACTCTTCCTATTACAATGAAAAAAAAAAACTGCTTAATCTTATATATAACTTCTTATGTTATTTAAATATTTTGCAGATGTTATGGATCGTGTAGTGGAGATCTATAATCCTGTTGACAAGATTGTGGGTGGTAGAGCAGCAAAATTGATTGACTTTCAAATATGTGATAATGCGTATGGTTATACTTTATTAGAAGTCTGTCTAGATGAAGTAAATTTAGCTTAAATCCTACATGTATTTTATCTATTAACTTAACTGAGTAATTACTGTTTATGCCTACAAAAAACAGTGACAATTACTTGATGTGTACCTTGTGGGATTCTCATGTGGACTCTCTACTGCCATATTACAATTCTGATTCGAAGGAACCAGTGATTGTAGCTATTCAGTGCTGTAGGGCCAATGTGGTCAATGGTGAGTTTTATAAGCTTAGTCATATTTCCTATTTTGTGTCACTATGTGAACCTAAGTAAGACTATTTACCCCATATACATACTTAAGTAAGATTGTAACTACATACTTTTTTGTAGGTGAGGTTAGAATAACATCATCATATGATGCAACTAAGCTATGGTTTAATGAGGAGTTTGATGAGTTCAAGGACTTCAGATCCAAGTAAGACTATTTACCCCACATACATATTTAAATTTTGCAGGGTAAGTAAACTACTTCAATATTCTGTAAAATCTTCCTTTTGTGAATGTTAAAAGTTGAAGAAACCCCTCTAAAAAGTTTCGGCACTGGCACTCTACACTCACAGTCAACAGGGATTGAACGTTTCCAAAAGGGTGAAACAATTGTCTCAATAATTTTTTATCTCTATAAAATCCAAGGGGTGAGTTATCTCTACACATTTTTTGTAATTTGAATTGTTGATCTTATATTTAACATATTTTCTCTAACTAAATTACAGGATGGTCAGTATTTTGTTCCTGCTGAAATAATTGCTATAGAGGCTTCAAGAGGTGAGTGGTACTACATGGCCTGCATGAGACCTGGCTGTAACAAGAAACTCAAAGAATCTGAAGGGTCCCTAGTATGTGACAAGTGTGAAAAACACTACCAAGAAGGTACAGCAAGGTATAAAATTTTGGTTAGAGTTTTAGACAAAACTAAGGATGCACCATTCCTGCTTTGGGATCGTGAAGTGGCTGATTTGGTTGGCATTCCAACTGCTCTTTTGTATCAAAAGTACAAACAGGTATTTTCTAATATTAACCTTTTTTTAAAATATTTCTGTTTTAAAGTTTAGATTTAAACTAACCCTAATACTTAGCAGATAATGGGTAGAAAAAATGGCGGTCAAATTTTTTAATCAAATGAATGGCTCAGATTGATCAGATTTAATTTTTCCTTAAGATTTCATAATTTATCCTTAATGAATATGATTTTCCGTTAACTTTTCTGTTAAATATTACATTTTTCCGTTAATTTATGTTAGTTCACCATTAACTTACTCATTGATTTCAATAACAAAGGTCTTAGGTTCGAACCCCATCCCAATCAAAGTTGGCATAATTAGTACTCTATTTTACTTTTATTAAATTAAATAATGATTTAGTAGCTACAACAAAAAATAATACATATGCATTTCTTTAATTTAGAATTATGTGTCTACAATGTCTTTATTCAAAAAAAAATTATTCATTATCAATAAATTAAATAAAAGAAATAATTTCATTAGTTATATTGTCTTTATTTTTCTCCAATATAACAATTCTTTATATTCAAATTCATCAATTGATTATATTCGCTACATTGTCCCTACAATGTCTTTATTAAAAAAAAATTATTCATTATCAATAAATTAATTAAGAGAAATAATTTTTATTAGTTATATTGCCTTTATTTTTCTCTAACGTAAAAATTATTTACATTCAAATTCATCAATTGATTATATTCACTACATTGTCTATTATTTTTTTTTTGTGCACTATTTTTAAATTAAATATCAAAGTTATAATACAAAATAAGCTATATATTTATTTACCAAGTATTTTATTAATACCGTGAAAAAATTAAAAAAATATATAATTAATAAAGTCAATAATATTAACTACTTGAGAGATTTGTTGGCAAAGAAAGTATCCAAATCACACAACAAATTGAAGTGAGAACTACCCTACAATGTCCTTGTTTGACAATGAGCAGTTAGCGGTAACGGATTATATTAGCGGATTTGACCAGCGAATTATATCAACAGTTGGTAAAAATAAATTTAAAACAATTTAATTGTTTAGATTAACATGTAAAATGACCAAATGATACATATATTTAATAATAATAATAATAATAATAATAATAACAATAATAACAATAACAGTAATAATTGTTTAAAAAAATATAATTAAGCCAATCATATTAATTAACTACTTGGAGGATTTATTGACAAAAAGAGTATTCGAATCACACAACAAATTGAAGTAGAAAACTACCTCTCAATGTCCTTGTTTGGCAATCAGCAGTTAGCTCTTCAATATTAGTATACATTTAATATTTTATGCCTTAATTTTTAGTTGCCTTCCCTTATGTCCCGTATTTGGTTTCAACCATACCTATACAATTATTTTATTGACAATTACAATTATTTTATTGACAATTATAATCAATCTTGACTATATTATCTTGCATTCATAAATTTAGAATTACCTATTTAAATAGGCAAATTCAACATTCAATTATATATGCGCGTAAAAAACTAGTATAGATAAAATGTAAAAATTCAACGGTCTATTTGACATTTTTTCTTTAAAACAATTTTCTTTAAAGCAATTATTTGATCAGACAATTTGTGCACCAAAGTCACCAGCATCTTAACCTCATGATCAAAAGCCTTTTTGGTCTCCTCCGCTTTGTGGGTCAGCTCGTCTACAGTGACATGCATTTCGTCAATCAAACTTTTCCTTTTCATGACAGAAGCATACAACTTGTCGTATTCCGCCTCCAATTTAGCACGCCTCTGACTCTCACTCAGCTCATCGTTGCTCACCATAACTTTAATCTGGAAAAAATGGCAGAATTTTAAATCCAATTAACTGATTGAATCCAAATTCCAAGCAATCTAAATCTGAAATGCATGGATTAAAAATTCAAAATTGCATAAGAGAAATTGAAAAGAATACAACACAACACAATCTAAATCTGAAATGCATGAATTAAGAATTCAAAATTGCAATAGAGAAACCGAAAATGATACAACAAAATCTAAATCCGGAGTGTAAGGGATTAAGAATTCAAAATTGCAACAGAGAAAACGAAAAGAATACAATAGAATCTAAATCTAAAATACAATGCAGGGATTAAGAATTTGAAATTGATGTATGAAAATCGAAAAGAATAGAACATCATTTACATTTAAATTACAATGCAGGGTGCGAATTCGAAATGGTAGTAGAGAAACATAAAAACAAAAAAAATACAACACAATTTAGATCTGAAATACAATGCAAGAATTAAGGATTCGAAATTGAGGGAAGTAAAGAAAACAACACAATCTAGATTTGAAATATAAAGATTAAGAATTAAAAATTGTAGTAGAGAAAGAAGGCTACTTTTGGAATAGAAACACAATACGATATTAAGATGTATACCCTGGTAGAGATTAGCAATGATATATTACTCCAATTTATATATATAACAAATTATATAAAAGTCAATCTATATTAGAGAATCGAAATGAAGAAATCACCATTGCCACTAAAAAACGTGTGGACCTGAGAAAAAGTCATGACATTTATTTTTTATTTTTTTTAACTGTTTTCTCTTTTATGGTAAAAATTAAACTATAATAATATTTACTTAATTTGATTTGTTTTTTTTAAAAAAAATATTTAATGGAGGGGTGAACCACACAAGACCGAAATACAATTTCAATCAGCTAGGGCAAATTACATCGTGCACCGCGGTGCGTAATTGATTATGCACCGCGCGTCAAAACGACGTCGTTTTATTTAATGAAAACAAACGCCATCTGTTTCGTGCCGTTCTGCGTCATTTCGCAAAAAGTAACTCTGTTATTCAGTTTCATTTTGTATACACTGTAGTTTCATTTCGATGTAACGACAGTTTCATATCATATAACTACATTTTCATTCGAAATTATAACACCAAATATGTGAAAATGTTATTTAATTTTATTTTATATACACCATAGTTTCATTAAAAGAGAACTACATGATCATTTTCGATATAACTACAGCTTCATTACTCAATATACACTAAAAATGTGAAATGTTATTCAATTTTATTTTATATATACTGCAGTTTCATTTCAATTCAATTGCAGTTTTAGTTGATAATATAAAAATAATACGTGAGGTAATGTCAGTTTTGATATCAGTTTCACTTCAATTGAATTGCAGTTTCAGTTGATAATATATAAAATAATACGTGAGACAGTATCGGTTTAGATACATAGTATCAGTTAATAATTAATACACCAAATATGTGCACTCCGTTAACTATAACAGCGCGTCGTTTCTTTACTTAAAGAAACGGCGCCCTTTTGACCGCGGTGTACGTGCACCGCGGTCCACGATATAACGACTGATCAGATAAAGGTTTGGCGCCCTGCCAGAACTCCACATTCGGCATCTTCAAGCAATGCCTTGACCTCATCCGGCGGAACTTCGAGGAGCTATAATCCTCTTGGTAGACTTTTGGAATATGGCTGCTAATGCGTCCGCAACACGATTTTGTTCACGCAAGATCAGAGAAACATTCCATTCCTCCACCCTGCTTAACACCCTTTTGCATTCAATGAGGATATTTTGAGCTATGATATTCTGCTCCGTTGATTTGTTTCTTTTGGCCATTGAAAATGTGAAAGATATGTCTTTGGAAGTTAATTTCACTTTTGGTCCTATAATTATTGAGGTCTTGTTAATTTCAATCCATGACTTTTAAAACTGTCAATTTAGTATCTTAACTATTCAATTTTTATCAATTTTGGTCACTCTGATCAAATTGCCCTGCAAAACTCACTGAAAAATATTAATAGGTAAAATAAATCGGGTATTTTAGCCTTTTTACTTATCTTTTCTGTCTTCTTTAAAATACTCTCATTATTTACGTTCTTTATCGGGTTTAGTAATTCGGGCTACCCAATGGACGGAGCAAAGGGGGGTAGGGGCAGCTCCCCCCCCACCCCACCCCTACCCCATATATAATCTTTGTATGTATATATGTATATATAGTACAAGTTTTAGTATTACTATAAAAAATACTATTAAATAAAAGAGTTAATATCGTTTGAGGTCCTCCGAGTATAGGGGTTTTGCCACGTTTAGTCCATAAACTTTCAAATTGACCATCTGTGGTCCTTCGACTTTCAAATTTAACCATTTGTGGTCCAAGTTAACCACTCATGGTCCTTCGAGTTTCAAAACTTAACCAGTTGTGATCCCTTGAAAGGACCATGGTTGGTTAAATTTTAATAATTGAAGGACCATGAGTGGTTAACTTGGACCACAAATGATTAAATTTGAAAGTCGTAGGACCATATATGGTCAATTTGAAAGTTTAGGACTAAATATGGCAAAACCACTATACTCGGAGGACCTCGGATGGTATTACCTCTAATAATAAATGAGTTAGATTAGTTGGTAGAACACATGTTTGGAAATAGTAAACGTCAAGGGTTTGAATCCTTTTGCATCAACATAGTTTTAGAGTTTACACACACACATCTATACTATATATAAAAACAAAATCTTGAACTTTAACTTCCCGCCCAATTGCTTAAAAATCTCTCTTTCTAATAAAAATATATTATTTTCTACTTTCATATTCGTACTATAATTCTAAGTTAAAATGCTTATTCTAATATTATAAAATAGTGTAATACAATTCCTATTCTAACCTATACTATATATAAAAACAAAATCCTGAACTTTAACTTCCCGCCCAATTCCTAAAAAAATCCTCTTTCTAATAGCGAGTGCTTTAGAGAGAGGGAGAGTGGAGAGGAAAGAACCCCCTAAGAAGGAGGGTCAATGGCCCTTATATAGGCCCAAGGATTGACCCGCTATCTTTGACTTTGACCCGTAGACCGGGACTAGAACCGTTTGACCCCGACCCGACTATAAAATGAGAGCACGGAGTGTACGGAGAGCTTGAACCCGGGGGTATATTCCCCATCAAGAAGCCCCCTCAGTCTGTGCCCTGACGTTGAGTGAATGAGGAAGGGTTCGGGCTGGAAAAACTGACTAAAAACGGTCTGCGACCTACGCTGGTTGCCTCGTTAAAAACCTTAAACTA